GTTTAATGTGCTCATCTGGTCTTGATTTAATTTGGGCAAGTGATATTTATCCATACAGTTGTTCATTTCCTTTAAGTTTTCCAATTTTGTGGAGTATGACCTGATGATTCTCTGTATTTCCTTCATTTCTGTTGTTATGTCCCCTTTTTCATTTCCTCTTTAATAGTTTCAAACATTCTCCTGAAGTTATTTTTTAGGTCACTTTCTTCTGCTTCATCTACATTTGGTTGTCATGTCTCGCTGTTGTAGGGTCTTTATGTTTTACTGGTGTCGTTTTGCTCTTTGTGGTGTTGCATGTGTTCTTACCTTGTCTACTCATCTTTTCCTCTAATAGGTGTGTTTGGGGCTGTCGGTGATTCTGTGGATCAATCTTCTAGGTGCCAGTGAATCCAAGGCTCAGATGGTTGTTCCTCATAGTACAGTCAGTGCCACGGTTCTAGTCACCCCGTTGATCACTCTGTGCCTTGAGGTTGCTTAGCACTCCCAGGCTTTGCTCTACTTCCTTGGAGTTTGCTGTCTCAAGCCTGCTCTAGCCTAGGTTGTCAGCTCAGACCTGTTTCTGTAAATGTCCCTGGTCTGGGTACATTCCTGCAGAGGTCTCTGGCTTGGGGTTGGTCCTGAAAAGGACCCTGGCTCCAGTCTAATCCCTCAGAGTTCTCAGGCTCGAATGTGCCCAGACCCGCAGAGGACCTGACTCAGGCCTAATTCCTAAGAGGTCCCAGACTCACACTTGGACCTGCAGAGGTTTCTGGTTCCTGACTACTCCCTCAGAGGTCCAAGATTCATGCCCAGATCTGCAGAGATCCTGGCTCAGGCCTAGTTCCTCAGAGGTCCTAGATTGATGCCCAGACCCACAGGGGTCCTGGCTTAGGTCTCCTCCCTTGAAGGTCCCAGATTCATGTCTGGATCCTAAGCGGTCTCTGTCTCTGACTCACTCACTCAGTGGTTGCTCTCCTGTACCTGCTACTGTGGTGTTCACTGTCTCAGGTTTGCTTTGGCCCAGGTAGCTGAATCAATCCTGGTCCACAAATGACCTTGGACTGGATCTGGTCCCAGCCCTTAGAGCTTGCTTTCTCAGGCTCACTTCAGCTTAGGTAGCTGGTTCAGTCCTACTCCTGTGGAATTTGTTGTCTCAGGCCTGCTCCAGCCCAAGGTGGAGTTTGTTGCCTCAGGCTGACTTTGGCTTAGGTTAGCAGCTTTAACCTGTTTCTGTTAATCTTGGTCTCGTTTCACTTCTGTAGAGGTTCCTGGCTTGGAGTTGGTCCTGCAAAGGTCTCTGGCACTGGTCTATTCTCTCAGTGCACCCAGAACTACAGAGGACCTGGCTCAGACTTACTCCCTCAGAGGTCCAAGACTCATGCTCAGACATGAAGAGGTTTCTGGTTCCTGCCTATTCTGTTGGTGTCCCAGACCAACTCCCAGACCCACAGAGGTTCTGGCTCAGGCCTAGTTCCTCTGAGGTCCCAGATTCATGCCTGGACCTACAGAGATCTTTGGTTCCTGCCTATTTCCTCAGAGGTCCCAGATTCACACCCAGACCTGCAGAAGTCCTGACTCAGGCCTCGATTTATTATATATAAATCTTTACTCTATTCCTTTTTAAAGGACTTTACTTTGTTATTTTAAGCAATTTTTAAATCTATGACTGCTATCCTTTCTCTCTCTTTTCCAAGCCTATCTATATTTTAAAACATAGTTTAAAAAACTATCTAGAAGTTTTTCCATCTGAATCTGTCTTTACTGAGCATCTGTATTGTTCTTTGATCACATGAGACTGTTCAGCTTAGTGAATGGTGCTACCACATGGCATTGATGGCTGACTCCTCTCTCCTTGGTTCACTGAGAGTTTAGCCTCAAAACAAATAAGCATCTGGGGTTCATGAGCCACATGTTACAAACTACTTAATGGTGTGACATAGACACTCTCCATTCTTGGAACTGGGGCAGTGTGCACAGTTTGCAGAGGTGGTGAACATGCCTCTGCCATGTTGGACTGGGCAGAACCAAAAGGCAAAACAGCCTTAGTCCTAGCCACACCTGATTAGCATTTAAAACAAAAAACAAAAAAGGTACTCCTGGTCGGAAAATAATTACAGATATTCTATAAAGATAGATTCAGACAGAAATAAAGCTCTGAATGGGTCACAGTGTGCTTAAAAAATGTACATAGGTTTGAGAGAGAAGAAAAGGTGTATAGAAGGTTATAAATGGAATTAAATAGTTAAAAAATAGTTAAAGACACATGATACAATCATAGACAAAAGGAGTAAAAGATAATTCACGTAAAGATGGAATATATACAGAGAGTATGGATTATGTACATCATTGTGTTTTCTTTGAGTTTTTGACTGTGAAGGAGCTAAATACAGAAAGACATTTCGTTGTATGGGCTGCTAAACCAACATTTAGATTTTAAAGGTATCTTGACTTCAGAAATTGGGTCTAAGGATTTGTTGCTTTGGAAATGAGGTTCTTATTTTGCTTCCACAGAAGATGAGAACCTATGAATTAATTCTAGACTAATGTGGTTTGATGGACCAAGATCCTCTGAAAGGTCTCCATGAATATCCCCCAAAATTACTTTGCCCCAAAAAACATAGAAAGCAGTTTGGAGAGAGCTATGCCCAAATTCTCTAAATGATTGTTTATAAGTGTTTGTTTACATTTAAAGGGAGATATGAATAATTTACGTTGGTACGAATCTTGGTTTATTGGTACAAATTTAAGGTCAATTTTGTTATACTGTGTATATGTATTTCTGCAGCTCATTTAAAATGTAATGTATAATTAAGAAATATAGGTTAATAGAGAATCATCTATAATAGTCCAGCTTGCAGTCATGTTAGTTATGTTTTCTAGATGTACAGAGATGTATTTCACATGGATAGACATTCTTCATATCTTTCAAAGACTACAGAATATGGCATTTAAAATGTTTAATGGCAATGAGACTCATCTGCACCAATTACTTCAAGAGGAAGATGGGCATCGAAGAGGTTCCTCAGGGAGTTTGTTAGCCATTTGGGCAAGAAACTGTTCTTGCCTGGACTGCTTGACTAGACTTGCAGGACCCACAGAAAAAAATGATTATTGAACTTGCCTAAAGGTGAGACCAGCCTTTGGGGTTCCTATTTCATGAAAGAGTCTGCCAGACAGTCTTCAGGAACCAGAAGAAAGTGACTGACAAACTGCCATTATAGGTAGAGCTGTCTTTGAAATTTCCTGCTTCATGGAAAAGTTTTCTAGATACTATGGGCTGATAGGCTGAAGTGGAGGTACCAGTGGGAGCCATGTTGATTGTCCCACCTCCGAGAGGTTGTTGGGTCCATGCTGTCAGCAAGTAGTGTGCTACCTGCTGTGCGTAAATCCCATGTAAGTGTTCCAAAGCAGGGCCTCTTAAAAGAGCTATGGCTGTGTTAGCTGCTAACATCAAGTGAACAAAGCCACCTCTTAAAGGAACCATGCCTCTGTTGCTAGTATCAAACCTCCCCAAGAAAAGGTAGATGTCAAGAATCTGTGTTTGGCTCCATGTTTTGTGTACTTAGAATCTTTTTTAAGCTTTGTTACATCTTATTTGGAAATTCCAGCATCACAGTGGAAGAGCACAGTGACATCACAAAGATGCCCAGCACTGGGTCAGTGGCTTTGTCAGACCTGTCCTGTGTGTACAAAGAGAAGGTGCCTTAACCCAGACTCACCTTCAGATGTGATAGACCAGGCGGCTTTCTAATTTATTTCCTTTTGTGGTGGAGACGTCAGATTCTTCTGATGCCTTAGGCAGTAATTGATCAAAGGGAGCCCTGGGGACCTGGAACTCAAGCTGCACACACTTTAGGACTGTGGGTCTCGACCTTCCTAATGCTGTTAGCCTTTAACACAGTTCTTCATATTGTGGTAACCCCGAACTACAGAATTATGTTTGTTGTTCCTTCATAACTGTAATATTGCTACTGTTATGGATAGTAATATAAATATCTGATATGCGGAATATCTGAGACATGACCCCTTTAAAGGAGCCCTTGAGCCCTCAAAGGGAGTTGTGACCCACAGGTTGAGGACCACTGGTCGAGGAGCCCCTTGACCACCACAGTCTTCCCTGTCCCAAAGGGTTCTGAGACCTCTGGTGACTTGAGGTCTTGCTCTGGAATCTTGGTTGGACTTCCAAAAATGTTGTGGGATACTCACCAGAGAAAACTGCTCAGACATGGATTTAAGTCAGGAGAAAATCTTTATTAGATGATCAGCAACTACACTGGGTGTTTGGGATCCCAGTGTAGCACTGAGTCTTTCTTAGGTAGAGTTTTTAAGCCCAAAATGCATGCCTGGGTTGGCATACCTCAGTTAACAAGACCAGTTAGCCAGAAGTGGAACTACAAAAGCCAAAAAGAAAGGTTAGTGGACTCAGAGACTGTCCCTTAATTATGGCCTTGGTTAGATAAGGTCTTTGTTATAGTTTTGGCAGGTAGTACTGTTTATGTGCTGTTTTACAGCCTGGATGACACTAACATCATGGAGTCAACTGTGCTAAAGATGGGGCCCTTGTTACAGTTACCAGTAACTTCTACTAAATAACCTGTCCTCGATTCCCATTTCCTAGGATTAGTTGTTACAGGTTTTCTTTATTGATACCTGAGATATTTGAATACTGTCAGTCTACAGCCACAAAATTTCACAAATTTATATGATGAAATAGTCAACTTTAAAGTTTTAACACTTTAATAATACACCATTAGAGCTAAAAATCCGAGATCAGTCAGGTGTGGTGGCACACACAGTTAAGCCTGATCCTGGGGAGGTAGAGGCTGGTGGATCTCTGTGAGTTGCCGGCCAGACTGGTCTACATAGTGAGATCCTGCTTCAGAAGAACTTGTTTTCAACAGTGAACTATTCATTTTATAATCTCCATACTTTCAGGTCCTGATGTGTCCCTGTATATGTGTCACAAGTGTGTGAGTGTTAGTGCACTTGTGCAAAGTGTCCCTGTGCAGTCAGAGGTAACTAGTGTGATTTCACTCTCCTTCCATCCTGGGTCTGGATGAGCAGAAGAAGCTTCTCTGAGCACAGTGGAGAGCAGCACTGACCCAGATCTGCACAGGAGGTTGTGGACCCAGCAGCACCAGCTCCCAGGACCTTCTGGCTTTCACTGCCAGATTGTCACTGCAAGGGCAGCCTACCTGTGGGACTGAGCAGCTTCTGGGTTCTTTGTTCTCAGTGTGCATGTGGCCATTGCTGGACCTAGTGCACATCACAGAAACTAACTTATAATGGTAATATTACAAAATAACAACTTTTCTGTTACAAAACAGTCCCTTTCTATCATATAGAGTCATATAAAATGAACACAGTATTCTTTGTTTTGTGCTAGAAAAACTGCCTAGTGCAAGTGTGATTATAATAAATATCTATTCCAAAATTAATATCCTTAACAGAATTTAACTTCCAGCTGGTTACCCTTAGGCATGGTGGGGTCTTTCTACTCTGTCTCACACTGACCCCTATACTGATAAGTTATATACAGAGGAGTAATAACTTCACATTCCCACTAAGGAGATCTACGTATGCTCTTTCTTATGCTAACTAATATGGGGAACTTAACCCTGTTTTTCTATATATCTGTAGTTCAATCAGATCCATGCTAAGGGCAAATCTCTCAAGGAAGCAGAGGGGAAACAGTACCAGGTGATAAGAAAGGGCCCAAGCAACTACACAGAGTGAAGACCATAAAATGCTGTGTCTGCAGCATCCTGATTCATCTGGTGGAGGCTGATGGAAGGGAGAGTGGTGGTACCAGATGAACTCTCACAACTTCTCTGGAGCATCTTCAGCCTGCAGCAAGGAAACACATCTTTTGAAGGGTCTGAGGAGAGCCTGGGTCAGTTCTCCTGGGTTCCCTGTACCAGTCATCACCACCCACAGCCACCCTCACTGAGGGTCATTCAGTTCCCTCCTCCATCACCCCTGGGCTCTCCATCTGGATCCCCTACTGTCTTCCTCCTTCTTTCCCTTGTCCCAGAGCACCAGACCCTGCTGAAGACCTGGAGTTCAGAATAAAGTGGTGATGACCAGCTCTGCTTCCTGACTCAGGTCCTGATGGGAGGGGCTGGAGGAGCAGGGGGGATCTCTATCCAGAAAGGACCTTTGAACCTGGCTTTCCAGATCTTGAGTGGGGCTCCAGACATCATTTCCCCTTCTTTCTAAAACTCTCAAAAGCTGACAGTAGCACACACAGCTGAGAATGTGATTGTCCCTGCCTCACCTTGTCCATCTGAGCAGCCCAGATGGGAGAGTGAACTTCATCAGCATCTCAGTCCTCCAGCCTCCACTGGGGACACTGCGCTCGGGTTCTGGAGGCTGCTGCTGCTGATTGACTCATTTCTATTTTACACGTACGAGTGTGAGCCTGCATGTCTATATGTGTGCTGTGTGAATGCTTGGGATCTGTGGAGAAGAAGGGGCTGGATCCCCTGAAACCAGAACTGTAGATGTTTGTTGATTGCCGTGTGGGTGATGGGAATGGACCCCAGGTCTGATGTACAAGCAGGAAGTGGTCTTGTCACTGGGCCATCTCTTTATTTTTGTCTTCTTTATCTTTGTCTGTGGAATGGAATCTTCTTCCCTCTACACAATGAGTGGAACTACGATGTTCTTTTTTGTTCCTGCTGTCTCCACATCTATACCAAGGGAACCTCCTGATTAGGAACCTGCTCTAGTCTCTTCTTATTGCCCACTGTTCTGTGTCATGATTTCTGTCCTGTCAAGACTGAGGATGCATAAGCTACTGCTAGCAGGTGACATGAACTCCAGATCTCCTGCCTCCTTTCTCAATAAGATGCTACAGTTGAGGGACAAAGCAGGACTCCAGAAATTCCCTCTTGCATCTTCTCTGATCCCCCATCTTTCCCTTACCCCACCCCAACATGGCCCTCAGTACCTTCACTGTCAAGAATTCTTCTCAGAGACCAGAGAAGAACAGAACAGGGAAGAATTATCAGTGGAAGAGAGATGTTAGGCTTGATGGCCAGGGACAAAACCTGGTTCACATCTGGGGCAGCAGTTGGTGAGGCTGAAATGGAAACACAAGTTGAGTCTTTGACTAGACCTCAAATATGAGGAAATCTCACCCTAGATTCTGGGTCTTCAGCAATACACAGAGTTCCATCCCCATTGCTATGTAATAACTGTTAGGTGGATCCTGAGTAGGAAGGGATATAGACTCATGCAGCTATGGTAGGGGAAGCAGGGTAATGATGGCACCTCATCTCTCTTGCTGGCAGGAGAGGAGGCATAAGGTGAGGATGGTGGCAAGGAAGAAGAAAGATGAGATGAAAAGCGAGTCTAGAATGAGGAGAAGGCCGGGAAATTAAGGGATGCTCAGCCTGTGACAACCAGTGAGAACCACAGTGAATGAACAGTGTAACCACAATGAATGAGACAGAAGAGGATAAGAAAGGAAGTGATTGATGGAAAAAATAGCCATCAACACAAGAATTCATGGTGATTAGATTATTACACACCCACCCCACCCCACACCATCTGTGTGAGTTTCCTCCCCTTCATCCCAGTTACCTGTAGACTCCAGCATTTCTTCCCAGTGTGACTTGACCTCCTGGAGCCAGGCCCTGCAGTCCCCCTGTGAGGTCATTTTTAAGAAGGCAGTTACATCCCTGTTTTTCTCCCACATCTCTTTCATCCAGCTGGATCCAGGGTCAACTTCAGTCCACTCTCCAGTGCTTGTGTCAACATGCAACATTTTGTGTCCGTTGAGGCCAAAGTCCCAGAATTCATTGAAATGCCCATCTACTTCATGCCAACAACACAGCCTGGCCTGTAGAGTGAGGGGCTCTGTGCCCATTGCAAAGAAATCAGCCTCTGCCCTTGATGAATCCTATATGCCCACCCTCCTCCCTTCCCATTATCTGACCTTGCTTTACCCTCTATATTTTAGCCTTACTGTTGGACCTCTTGGGTTGGAGGGATTAGTGACTGTCCCTAACATGTCACAAATCCTGTTCTTTCCTTCATGGGGTCATTTAATCTGTTCTTTTATTTACTTGGAGAAGTGGGAATTGAACCTAGGGATTCAGGCATGCCAGAAAAGCACTCTATCACTGAGGTACATCCCCAGCATTATGGGGTCATTTGAAACACACCTCTGATTGTATTATTCTTCTGCTTCATGTGAATCACTTCATCTCTGAGCAGGTCAACTCCATCTTTCAGAGTGTCACTGTGCTTTTCACAGATCTTTGTGGCATTCAGTTTGTTCCCCAGAACACCAATGACATGGCAGTTGTTGTTACTGTCATAGGAAAGAAAAGTCTCTTCGTTCAATTGGCCTTGAACTTTGTGCCACCATAATCCAGACCCTGACTTGCCAACAGTGAAGCTGTAGCAAAGCAAAGCAGCATCTGTGAAGGAAACATGCAGTGAGGTTAGGGATGAGGAGCAGGGCCTCAGAGACAGTCTCTGCCTGTGGAACAAGAAAGTCCTTTGGAAGGGAGTCTTTAAAAAGAGAGAAAGAAAGGAAAGAAAAAAGAAATGAACAAATGAAGAATGGAATGAATGAATAAATATGTAATTAAATAAAGAAAGGAAGAGAAAATAAAGACCTGAACATCTTTGCTGGTTAGCGCTGTCAGTTTGATACAGCCTAGAGTCACCTAAGAAGCGACTGTTTTGACTGTGAATAGTTAAGGAATGTCCAGTCCCTGTGGGTGTTACTATTCCCAGGGCAGGTGGTCTCTGGCTGGATAAGAAATCTAGTTAAGCAGAAGCTAGAGAACCAGACAGCAAGCAGCATCCTCCATGGTTCCTGCTGTGCCTCTCTGGCTGTGAAGTGAGTTCCTTGGTCATAGCTAATGCTGTGCGGAATAGCACATGGGCCTGCCTCTGAGTACCTGCCCTGACCTCCCTCAGTGACAGACTATGGCTTAGAAGTCAGAGTCAAATAAATCAATTTCTACCTTAACTTTCATTTGGTAAAGTGTTTTATCACAGCAACAGAATGAAACCAGAACAAAACATTACCAGTTGACTTAAAGCAGTGCTCCAGGGATGGCTTCCTGGACCTGGTCAGAGGCTAGCCCACAGTACAGGACTAAGAAAATCTAGGCTGGTTAAATCTGGCAGTAGAAGAGTAGGGATCAAGAATCTCAGAGAAGTGCACGTGCCAGAACAGCAAACATTTCCAGGGGAAGTGTGCAGAGCCCATGCTGTCTGTGGATGCTGGAGCATCCCTGCTGATAAGCACAGTGAGAAGGACCAGGGAGCAGGGTACCAACATTGTTGGAAGCTCAGAGATGATGATAACTTTGGGTTAGGGGTGGGGTTAGAAAACTGTATTCCTGAATCCCAGCAAATAAGACACAGAAAAATTCTATCAGGTGGAATGGTCAGGAGGCAGTAACATCATTGTTGAGTAAGGGGGACCCACTTTGAAGTCTATTTAAGAGGGTCATGGCTAACAGAACACAAAAATCCTAAAAATAGAAGATTAGCCAACTCTGATGAGGCTGGATACAGGGCAGGACAAAAACACAAACAAGCTGCCCCCCTTCATGTTACACAAAACAGATGATCAAGAAGCTGTAAGCTTCTTGTTGTCCCCAGTATGACTGACTGCTGATGGAGTAGGAGCACTTCTCAGGCATCTTGCTCACCTAATGTGCCAGCAGAATTCTTGCTCCTCCCCTGTGCATAGTTGGTTCAGCGTGATGGACTGCACCCATAGCCTATCCGAAGTTCCAGGAGGTTTCCGGAGGAGGACTGCCACCTCGTGATTCAATAGCCTGTTCCCTCCCTGCCCTTTTTTCCCGGCGCCCCCCAGTTAGACCATGGCGATTCACCAGCTAGCAGCGTTGACCACAGACAGATCAACAGAACCGAGAAGCACAGCGCCTTAGTGGAAAGATAGTTCTTGGTGGCTGCATTCTATGTCATACCCTGAGCAGCAGGGTTAGTAATCAGAGTTGCAGTTCCCTCCCCTCTCCATCCTCCGCCCCGCACCCCGCACCCCTCAGGTTAGACCAAGGCAACTCACCGGTAGGTAGCGTGTACACCAGACAGATCAGTAGAACAGGAAAACACGGAGCCTTGGTGGAAAGACGGTGCACGGCTGCTGCATTCTTTGCCATACCCTGAGCGACAGGTTTAGTAACCAGAGCAGGGCTCTCCCTGTGGGGTCTCAGTGCCTCCCAGCAGAGGACCCGGTGCAAAGATTCAGAAAGTGCCAGGCACCTGGATTCTCAATTCTCAGTGTGTCCAGTGAGTCCGACTGGGTCTCACCCTAAATTGACCCTTGTCGTCCCTCCCTCCCTCTTGGAGGCGGAGACTATGATCTGAGTGGTGCAGCTCCTCGGTGGAAGTTCTCCCTTCCACAGGGTCCGAAGGAAACTTCAAGGTCCTTCCCAGGCAACCATCCCCTGCTCCGCCCTCTGGGAGGCTTGGTAACTGAAGCTGTCTAAGCCAAATTATTTTTTCAAGAGATAACAAAAGGCGGGTGTCACTCTCAGCCCACAGTAACTTGGAGACACACTAGGAATTTCTTTATAGAGTCCTTGCCAAACACTTGCTTTAGTTCAGCACCACCACCAGTCTGAATCATCCAACTTCCAACCCGTCCCCGTGCCCCCCACCCCCACCCCGCGCGCCTCAGGGAGGTGACTTTAGGTCAGTTTCAGCTCAGGGGACTCTGGGTTCTGGTTCTAAAGTACATGGTGTCTTCAGCAGTAGGGTCTTATGTTCAACTGTTGAGTAAACAAGAGCAACAGCAATAGGCTGTATGTTTTGGGAGTTTTTAGACAGCCCTGATCAACAACTCAAAAGAGGGCTTCTCTTGCTTAGTATTTGGGTTTTGTTAGGTAGTCATTTGGAGGAAGCACCATCAGTCTACATGAAAAAAAGTTCATTAAAACTATGTATGTATAGTTATACACTGAATTACATTAGTTATTTTTTAGGTAAATAGTTAATAGTAAGACTCCTTGTGGCTTTTCCAGTCATTATATTGTTATTTTACCTCCCTTCTTCCTTCTATTTTTAGCTCCTCCACCTTCCTTAAGGAGACCTCATTTTCAGCATTTCCCTATCAACACACTTGTATCAATTCTGATATTCCCCTTTACCCTCTTCCCACCTTCTTCTGCACTGCCCTCCTTCTCCCTCCTTAAGCTCCCCCTTTCCTTGTCCCTATCAGATTATCTAACTCTTAGGAGGTCTTAGTAAGCCCATACTCAAGACTGTAATTTTGCCCACTCTTGTCTGTGTTACACTTTTTGGGTCCTCAAAGTCTGCAGCCCTCCTTTGACATGGACCCTCACTAGATCCCGAGATTCAGTATTTGTCTCATGTTTCATCACGGTGACAATCAAGGACTTCTGGAGTTCCAAGTCAAACAAGCCTTTTCAGACACCTCCTCACACCAATATGGGAGATTGGATCTACCTTATATCCTCCCACAGGACAAAGGGCCACTAGAACCTGTCTGCATTGGGCCCTGTCAAGCTCTCACAAGTCCAACTGCAGTCAATTACATGGCCTGCCACTGTGGATCCTTCTGTCCACAGTTAAGATGCTCTGTCCACAGAATCTCCACTGCTCTGTTCTTTTGAGCCTCTTGCAGATCTGTTTCCTCTTCCAGTGAGACCTAATCCCCCCAGTGGGTTCTGGGGCTGAAACTCAGTTGTCTTGTGTCTCAGTTAGGGTTTCTACTGCAGTGATGAAACACCATGACCAAAGCAACTTGATGAGGAGTGGGTCTATCTGACTATGTACCCCCTGACACAGTGCATTGAGGGAAGCCAAGGCTGACACTAAAGCAGCGTAGAAACCTGGAGGGAACAGCTGATGCAGAGGCCATGGAAAAGTCTGGCTTCTTAGATTGCTCTTCAATGGCTTGCACAGTGTGCTTTCCTACAGCACCCAGGACCATATGCCCAGGGGTGCAACACCCACAATGGGCTGGGCCTTCCCACATCAATCATTAATTAAGAAAATGTCTTCCAGGCTTGCCTACAGCTCAATATTCTAATCCCATGGAGGCACTTTCTCAGAAGTTCCCTCCTCTCAGATGATTTCATCATTGTGTCAAGTTGACAAGACACAAGCCAATACATCATGCTAGGGGGCAACTGCTTTTCCCACTGAGCAATCTTGCCCATGAGTGCTTGTGAGTTTGCTCTGCATCTTTGGTCTCTGCTTTCTTACCCCAAGATGCTCTTCAGTAGTCAAGACTCTCAGCTTTCTGAGTTTGATGATGCAATTCTACAACCTCTCTCCTCTTTCCTTGTTGTCCTAAAGGACACACAGTTTCAAGAATTTATTAGACACCTTCCCCCCCCCTTTTGTCAGGTTGCATAAACTATTCCTAGACTGAAGTTTTTGCTCTAGTTATTGTCCCTGATTCTCCTTCTCTACAAAGACCAAAAGGTGGTGGTGGAACTGTAGTTGGGGGCTTACTCATGGTTCCTTATATAGCTCTCTGTGTTAAGGAATCAGTTTTCCCCAGAAAGGCAATTTCTTCCCCTATACTGGATCTAAGACTTTCACAGTCTCCCTGTGTGGTGGTTTGAATAAGAAAGGCCCTCATAGGCTCACATATTTGAATGCTTAGTCACCAGGGAATGGAGCTCTTTGATAGAATTAGATGGATTAGGAGGTGTGGCCTTGTTGGAGGAAGTGTGTCACTATGGGTGGGCTTTGAGGTTTCAAAAGCTGATGTCTGATCCAGTCTTTCTGTCTCTGCCTGTGGATCAGGATGTGACTCTCAGCTGTATTTCCAGCACCAAGCCTTCCTGCCACCATTGTAACATGAGGGGGGCGGCTTGTTGGGGTTTCCATCCCTCCAAGTACCCCAACAGCTGGCAAGCAACAAAGAAAATCACACACAAGACTCCATAAGGTTATAAACTGATTGGCCCATTAGGTCAGGCTACTTATTAGTTCTTATGACTTATCTTAACCCATTATTCTGATCTATGTTAGCCACACGGGCTCAGTACCTTTCTCAATGTGACAGCTTACATGTTGCCTCTTCGGTGGTCTGCGCAGGAGTGACAGAGGAACCTCTCTGCTTCCCAGAATTCTCCTGTTCTCATTGCATCACCTCTACTTCGTGTCTGGTTTTCTCGCCTATACTGCCTGCCTGGCCAATCAGCATTTTATTAAAATATGATTGACAGAATACAGACAATTCTCCCACACCACACCATGCTCCCTGCGTTGATAATAATGGACTAATGCTGTCTGAGGTTTCTGTCTGGTCTGGTTTCTGCACTTGTTAAGTCCCAAAGAAATCACATAGAGGCCTACATTAACTATAAACTGATTGGCCCATTAACTCAGGCTTCTTATTAACTCTTATAACTTATATCAGTCCATCATTCTTGTCTTTGCTAGCCAAGTGGCTTGGTACCTTTTTCAGCAAGCAGTCACATCTTGCTTCTTCTGTGAATGGATCAGCACTACAGAGGAATGGGATTCCTTCTTCCCAGAATTCTCCTGTTCCTATTGACCTACTTCTACTTCCTGTCTGGTTGTCCCACCTATACTTCCTGCCTGGCTACTGGTCAATCAGTGTTTATTTAAAATGAAATTGACAGAATATATTCGATTGTCCCACAGCACTTCCCCCCGCTTTTTAAAAACAAAAACTCTGAATCTAATATCCTTTGTTTAGCTTTTCTCCTGACCATTAGCCATAACAACTTGTAACCAACATTCTAAACAAAGGAAAATATCCATAGACCATTTTTTTGGGAATGTGGGTATAGTTTTCCAGGCTACTTCCTGGAAAGAAGATATTTCTGGAGAGTGCTGATATTTTTATGGGGACCTAAATAAAATTTAGAATTATGATCAAGTCCTGATTGGAGTATCCTGTGAGACTTGACCATCTCCAGCAGCATCTTGAATCTGTCCTGGATGTAGAACTCAGACATATTTTCCTACTGGAGATTTTTCAAGTGGTCTTCCTTGATCAAACATGATTTTTCTTAACTCAGAATGAATCCATAGCCTCTCATTTCCTGTGAAACAAAAGCAAAACCTCTTCTCCAAAGTAACATACCTTTGACTTCAATTTTAAGTCAAGGTATTTTCAAAATATCTATCTTGGATTAATCCAGCAGCATTTATAAGCAAATATCTTTTAGCAGCTCTTGCTCCATCCTCAGCATTCAAACAATTTAAAGAGAGCATAATAACATACAGTATCCAGGCTCTCTGTTTACTTTTTATCTTTATGTGGCTTTATTTTAACCTCTATTTCTTATATATTTACTTTTTGACTTTTTGAGGCAGGGTTTCTGTGTGTCATTGTCCTGGAACTCACTCTGTAGACCAGGCTGTCCTTGAACTCACAGAGATCTACCTATCTCTGCCTCCCAAGTGCTGGGATTACAGGTGTGTGCCACCACACCTTGAATTCACAGAGGCCTGCCTGCCTCTATCTTCCAAGTGTTAGGATTAAAGGTGTGTACCACCACACCCAACTACTCTCTTTCTTTTTTTATTTTTAAGGACTTTAACATTTTCCTTTATTCTCCAAAGCCTGCATATATTTTTAACACACTGTAAAACATTTAGAGGTTTTTTTCTGTCTTTGTATCTCTCTTTACTGTATATCTCTTTTTTTCTGGCAACATGTGTCTTTAATTTGCTAAGTAATATGGATAGGTTTGAAGTCGTGGCTTTGATGATTGGATTCAGCCCATTCTTTAGCTTTCCACGTTTCCAGCCTCATGGAGGAGGTACCAACTGGAGCCATGTTAATTGCCACAACTCTATAGCATTTCAAGGTTTCTGCCACCACCAGAAAGCATGTGGTCACCTTCTCATCAACACCATTTAAGTGTTTCATATCAGGACCTCTTAAAAGAGCTGCGAGGTTTTGCAGCTAAAGCTGAGTCAGGAAGTCTCTCTTAAATGAGAGTGTCTGCCTCTAACAAGCAGAGCACCCCTGAGAAAATGCTGCTATCAATAACCTGTGCTATACTCTATTCTTTTCTGTCTAGAATAACATCCCAAGCTTTCTCAGGCTTCTAAGTAAATTTGGTCAGCCCCACGTTGGCATGCCATTTGTTGTCAGGGTTTTCTGTCCTGCCTGGTTCCTGCAGTCATTAAGTCCCAAAGAAAT